GCTGTGAAAAAAGCGCTGGTTGAACGTTGAAAACGATAAATCCGTTGGGAGCTTTGTCTTTACTCTGCTTTGCGACGACGTGTCTGCGGGGTACCGTTAGTAGAGTCGTGCTTTCCACCAAGAAGCACTTTGTTTGGCGGTGGCACTTTTTGCTGATTTTGTAGACCAGTTTTGCTGAACACAGTTCAAAAGTGGCAGGCAAACAGACAGGCATTACCTTTAGCGGCAAAGAGGAAGAGGGGTGCCGGCAAAGCTTACCATCACAACCACCACCACCTGTTGCTGCAAAGCGGTTTTAGCTAATAAATTAAAAATTAGCAGGCAAGAAGAAGAGGGGCTTGCACTGGTGAACTGCTCCGATGAACTATCACAACTATTGCCAGTGAATGGCCTCAGTTACCTCTGTGAACGGTACTTGCCTTTTACCTTTTTAAATGGCCAGACGAAAGGAAATGCCGGGAAACGCTTTTAATTATCGTGCCACACCAAAACGGCGCCGGCAATGTAGCACGCGGAAGTAAACTAAAGTTGTGCTTTATTATTTTTAACCTTTTTTAATTGAGTTATTGCGGTTTAATTTTACATCGTTTTAAATTTTACAGTTTATTTCATTTGAGTGAAGAATTTGTTTTTGTTTGAGAAACAACGAAAATATCATTGAAATTGCTTTTGACCTGATTTTTAGTTAAATTTGATAAACTTTTGTAATTAGCACTGACTAAAATAATTGTTTTTAAAAACTGTCATAAAAAAATTCTTTTTATTTAAAAATATTTTAAAGAAAAGGGGTAAACAATAGTCAAATGAAAACCGTGAATTTTATTTGAATGTGCATAAGTTAGCCGTAATAATAAATAAGGGGGTGTAATAAATAAAGGTGAAGTTGAGTGTGTGTGTGGAAAGGTGTGATGAAGGTTCAATTGTGTGCTAGTGTGCAAGTGTCTACTACTTTGGCTGGTGTAATAAATAGAGAGAAAGAGATTCAATGAGATTCAGTGAGAAAGATGGCTCGAGAGCTGCTGCTGATACGTTCTTCTACTCCTTACTTTTTGGTATGCACAGGAAGAAAGATCGCTGTTTTGTGGATTTTGAAACGTAGGAGACTATCTAAGCTCGTTTGGGGGAAAACAAGCACATGACATGACAAACTGGTGAGAGGGAGAAGAAGAAGGTGCAGCAGCATTGGTAGCAGGTCAACGGTGATGGTCGGTGAGATAGAGATGAGAAATCCTTCTTCTTCGTCGTTTTGAGCAGTCCACTGATTAGATAACACAGGGCAACTGGACGTATCGCAGTGCAAAGCCTGGTGGTGGTGGGTAGAAAGAAAAAAAGAAAAAAAGAGAGATGCATCAGAGATTAAGGTTTAAGGGTGAGACTAGTGTGTGTGTGTGTGAAACTAGTTTGACCAATTAAGTTTTGGCTTCTTCATCTTTTACGACTATGCTACAACGGCGAAAGGTCATTGAGCTGCCGCCGTCGTCGTTTTGTCTACTCATGGCTGACTCTTTATCTCTCGACTGATTAGCATTTCAATGCTCGAAATGCTCAGGCAGTAAATGAGAGGGTAAAAGAAGAAGAAGCAGAAAGGAAGAAGAAGCAAAAAGAGCACTTACCATGTTGAGAGTTCTCGGCGTTCAGCTTCTGGTCAGAGTTGGAGCGCACCTTCAGCTGGAAGGGCTTGGAGCGAGCTGAATGATGATGATAAGAATTGATAAGTTTTTGCTCAAATATTATCAAGATGATCACAATAGTAAACTCACAGATAACATAATCGTCCTGCAGCAGTTTGGTACCGCAAAGTCGGTCCTCACCGGGTCCGCTTCCTTCGGCGCTGCCCTGGTCAATTCCAATAAAATCGTCGACGTTGCAGAGGCCGCCGCTGGCGCCCCGGGCTGTCAGGTTGCCCTCGAAGGGGGCGCCCCAGCTGAAGCTGCCCGGCTCGTCGGTCTCCCAGCGAATGCTGCAGAAGTTCTCCTCCACGCGGACGCAAGCGGTGTACCTCAGGTTGGCGAGGTACCGGGCTCGGCCTTCCATCTAATAAAAAAGGTAAAATTAATATTTTGTTTAACGATTGTAAGCACTTTACAAGTTTACCGAAGGACCGTAGTTGAAGCTTTTGACGACGTCCGAGGGCGCTCGGAAGTACTGCATGCAACCAGAGGGAGCCATGTCCTAAGAAAAATTAACAAAGTTAGTAAACACTTTTGTTTACAGTAATGCTGATAGGCTTACCAGATTATTGCAGGGAATCATGTTGATCTTCACCTTCCACTTGCGGCCAATGTTGTCGCCGTTGGTGACCACGGAGAGCACCACCGGATTGGCCGAGCCGCGGCCCATGTCGACGTACAGGTGCTGACCATTGTTCTCGCCGCAGAGAATGGGCAGACGCTCGCCGACTGTAGTACGCACCATGAAGCTGTCAGTGGTGCACTGGCCGTTCTCGTCGGGCATCGCAAGGGACATCTAAATGAAAGGCAACACCGTTAGTATTTGGTGTTGAAAAAACTTTTCTTTATTTCATTTACCTCCTCAAAGTCAAGTCGGAGCTGGCAGACGCCTGGCTGCTTGTCAATGGTCACTTGGCAGGTGCTGGTTAGTTTGAATAAAAGTGATTAGCATTTACAAAACTTATCATTAGCATTATCATCAACCACTTACTTGGTGCCATTGTCCAGCTTGGGGTAGAGGCCGTTGACGAAGTAGGTGCTGTTAGCTGAAGTTATTGTGAAATTGTTAAACAATGAATTCTACCTCATTATCAAAGTTTAATTTAATTTTTTTAAATAATTACCTTTTGTCCGTCCACCGCAGGTGAATTTAAAGTTGCAGCAGCTGGCAAAGCCAGAGGCGCAGGTACCATCAGGGGTGCCCTGTCGGCTGAGACAGTCATTCTGGGCAAGACAGGTGCCTGGCGTGCCTGATTCACTTGTGCAAGGGCTGTTTTGGTAACGGAGCTGTTCAGGAAAAGTTGAAATTAACAAACCTTAAATTATTAACAATTGACAAAGTTAACTTACAATGGCAATGATGGCGGGAATGCTAGGTGGTCTGAAGGAGCCCTGGCCAGAGGCCACTGCCACCAGAGAAAGGGCGAGGATGCAGTAACGAATCTATTAATAAAACAAAGTTGAAGAGGCGTGTCAGATGATAGGCGTAATTGAAGGGGGAAGATGAAGATTAGGCACTGTTTCAGAAAGGTTACACCCACCATTGTCAACTTGAACTGTACTGATCGATGATCTGATCAGTAAAAATAAAGAGAAGAGGAGAGAAGAATAAAGTGACCACGACGAGCGCACTCGTGTTAAGAAGATCAGACTGATGTACGCGGGAGAACGGTTTTCCACAGACTGACCCGGAAATTTGCGCCCTCAACCTTTTTATATAGCGCCCGTGAAAATGCCTGCCCATCTGTGAGCGACTGCAGACGGACATTGCCAGACCGGTCAGTCTTCTTCGCTCAAGCAGCAACAGCAGCAGGGTCACTCGGCGGCAGAACAGCATCTTTCTGCAGTCTGTGTGAAATGTCGGACTTTTTTCAATTCAATGTGCTGCTCAGATTAGATTCAATGGCAATGGCAACCGAGATGGAGATGGTGGCCACAATGGTCAGCAGCAAAAAAATGGTGGCCACCAGCAACAGAAACATCTCGAGTTGTCTAGTGCAAGCGGTACATCAACAATTGAGCCTAACGGTTGAATACCAAAGTGAAATGTGCAAAAAGTGACCCATAAATAGCTGGCCATTGAAACCTGCGCAAACCGCTTCAAGGTCGTCGTCGTAACCATAAGGTCGTCGATGCAATGTCTGGCAATGTTTGCCCACTTGGTGGTCTGACAGACTGACTGACAGACAGTTTGACAGATCAACCGGTCAAGATCTTGACTCGGCATGTATCTAAATTTAAACGTGATGACTTTTGCTGGAAAGTTAAAATTAAAATCAGAGTGCCCATTCTTTACCTGCATCCTGGTCTCAATTTGTCTTCAGTGTGTGGTTGCGTGTATTGCACCCACTTTTAATAGACCAATGACCTATATTTGTGTAGCAGTAGACAACGAAGACGACGACAACGACATTAAAGGCACCACTTTCAAGGGCAAGGCATCTTTTAATTGAAGGCCAAATGAAGGCATCAGCGAGCACCATCTTCTTCTTCTTCTCAAAGTCTTCTTTCAATTAAAAAAGGAGGATTTGTTCTTTTCACTATGAGTGTGATGAATCACTTTGTACCTGTCTCAAGGCAGCACCGTCGCTGCAAAAGCTATGAAAAAGATGCAGATCAGCAGCAGCAGCAGCAGCAGCAACTACAGTCAGAGTCACAGTTAGCAAAAGGTCAACAGTTAGCAGAGATCAACAGGTGGCAATGAGCAGCAGCAGCAGCAGCAGTGCTAATTGCTAGGGCGAGCACCAGCACTCAAACTCGTTTATAAATAGTAATAACTGGCAAATGAAGAAAAAGAAGACCACGACGGCGACGACGTCGAGGTGGAATTCAACAGTGGAGATAATTTATACGGTTAGTGACCTATTACCTATTTACTTCCGCGAGCAGAGAGCATAGAGCAGAACACAACCTCCGTCATCGGCGTCGGTAGTCTGTGCAGCATGGATAATGCCAGCGGAGGACGGATGGCCCCCAGCAACGATGAAGGAGCCTCAGCAGGACACCACCACCACCACCACCACAATCACCACCGCCATCACCACCTTGGTCTAAATTAAACGACCACGCAAACTAAAGAGCAGCGTCCATAAAACTTCGACTTCAACTTCAACTGGCTGCGCCAAACTGACCTTGGCTTGGTGAGCTGGACTGGAAAACCCGTACTGGCCCGCTCAAGAGCACGGCACACTGAATACCCTTTTCTCTGAAGAAGAGAAGAAAAAGTCGCCTTAAGCAGGTGGACAGCCATATTCACCACCAGCACGACCATCACCTTCGAAGGACAGCTGCACTGAGCTCGCTTCATTTGCACGGTGACCTGCGACCAAGATGGCCAAGTATCAAATGATGATGGTAAAGTTTTCAGCATCCTCTACATTTCTCCTCTCCGCCGTCGTCTTGGCCGCCTTTGTGGTGCGGCCAGCGGCGGCCACCGACGCCACTGCCCGACAGTTCTGGACCCGGCCGGGCGGCATCTTCTCCGGCCTCCGCCTGGCGGGCACCACCTGCACCACCGATGACGGCGAATCGGGTACCTGCTCAACGGAAGCGGACTGTCGGGATCGACAAGGCTTCCCCGGTGGCGCCTGCGGCCGCAGCGGAAGTGGCCTCGTCTGCTGCAACAACATCCGCCTCAGCTGCGGCGCAACGACGTCGAAGAATGAGGTAAGTTGTGGATGTTTTTAAAATTAAAACTTATCAACAAAAATTATTTTATCAACACAGAGCTTCTTTGTGAATCCAAACTACCCGAGCTACCTGAACAGCACCGCCACCTGTCAGATTACCGTCGCCAGCAATCCGGGCATCTGTCAGATCCGCCTCGACTTTGAAGATGTGAGTTGTGGTTGATTGATCGACTATTTTTTACCTTTTGTTAAATTTTAAAATTTTGTTGCTTTTTAGTTTGAACTCGCCCAGCCCGATGAGTTCGGTCGTTGCACCCAAGACAGCTTCATGGTGCGAACCACAGTAGGCGAACGTCTGCCAATGCTCTGCGGCGAGAACAAGGGCCAGCACATGTACGTGGACATGGGCCGAGGGTCAGCCAATCCGGTGGTCCTTTCGGTAATTACCAACGAACGGGATGGCATCAATCGCAAGTGGAAGATCAAGATCAGCTTTGTGAAGTGCGACAACTACGTGATGGCGCCGTCGGGCTGTTTGCAGTACTACCGATCGCCTTCGGATACAATTCGAACGTTTAACTATGGTGCCAAGGTAAGAAAAATAATGATTCTAGATTTTAAAAGTCAAAAAATTTACTCAAACCTATTTTTGCAGATCGACGGCAAATCGCGCTACCTCTCCAACCTTCGCTACAGTGCCTGCATTCGCGTGGAGGAGAACTTCTGCTCGATCAAGTGTAAGCTTATTTAATACTTTTTCAAAAATTTTAGTCATTTTTTCAATCTTTGCTTCTCAGGGACCACCGAGTCGGCAGACAGCTTCAGCTGGGGCGTGGCCAATGACCCGATGTACAATGCCCAGGGCAATAACACCAAAATGGGCCTGACGGGGGCGCAGTGCAACGACGACGACTACGTCGGCATTGACCAGGGCTCGCAGGAGGGCAGCGGCGTCGGCGAGGACCGCTTCTGCGGCCAGAAACTATTCTACAACAATCTGGTCATCTGTAAGACTTAGCTTGAATATTTTTAAAATTTAAAATTTTATTTTTTCATTCTACTTTTAGCTCGAAGCAAACCCTTCATGTTGAAGGTTCGCTCCAACTCCGACCAGAGCGACAATAACCGCTTTTCGCAGGCGGGCGCCGCGCTCACCTTCACCCAGCTTCCCTGTTCAGTTTGAGCCCATTAATTTAACTCAAACCACCACCACTCAATTTATTTATTATTGACACTATGTACCACTTTTATATTTATTTATTGCACTTGCTTCTCTTTACTGATCTTTCTCTTTTCTTTCTCTTTTCTCCTTCACCAACATTTGGTGTTCATTTTTTATGAAATAAGACTTTATAATTTTTATAAACTAGCACTTTTTCTTTTTGTTGCTGGTGACTAAGACCAACTGATAGTTTGCTTTACCAAACAAAAAGTTGAAACGTTGTAAGGTTTGGTGGTGTTCTGTTTTTTGCTTTTTTCCACTTTTATCTCCACTTTTTTATGTCTTGATCGTGGCAGTGGAAATCGATACACGATGGCTTGATAACAGAGAAGGAGGAGAACACTGCTTCACTCTCTTTCTGTCACTCTCTTGCTTCATCCTGACAGGATGCAAACTCGGCGGCAAAGGAGCAGTTGGGCGATGGCAGGATGCCGACTAATCAGTGCCCATTAGCCAGTAACATTAGCCAGTCAGTCAGTTTGGGTGAACACAAAAATAACAACAGTGATGCTTTCATTTCACCAAAACAGTCAACACAACATTTTCACCAGCAAAGCGTTACCATAGATATTTGATTGGAAAAGAACTTCAAACAGAAAAAACTTTTAAGCTCTTTTTCAATGGACACCTGCTGCAGTTTGCAGACCTTCCTCGACGCTGCCCTGACTCTGGAGCTGACCACTTTGCCGCCGAGTGATGTTCGTTCAGCGGGCTTCTTTCATGGCCGACTTGGACGGCTGGCTGCTGAGGCGATGCTCACCGAAGATGGCCATTTTCTGGTGCGAGAAAGTAGCAGTTCTTCTGAAAAGCAGTACGTCCTCTCCTGTCGATCAACCGTTTCAACAGAAAGTCCATCACCACTACCAGTGGCTCTTCACTTTCTCATTCACGAGTGGCCAGAAGAAAAAGAAGAAAGAAAGGTTCAGTACGCCTTTGACGGTGACAAGTTTGAAAGCATTCAGGCGCTGATCAACTACCATGTACGGATGAAAGCTCCCGTCACCTCGACTTCAGGCGCCATCATTAGCAGGCCTGTAGAACGACGACGACCACTAAATCAGAAACAGTTAGAACAATGTAAAAACGTATTTTCAAAACTTTTACTCAAAACTAAAATCCCTCTTTTGATTAATCAGATTACCAGAACCGACCAAATTGGTCGCTAAGCCGCCTGCTCAAGGACGTCGATGTGCTTTTAAAAGTTGAAGAAACTAATCTCAAAGTGATATCCTCATCTTCACTTGATCAAAACAATCTAGTAGACAACAACTTTGCCGCCTTCTCCTCCGAGTACCTGCGCCAGCTTCAGTCGGGAATCTCCGCCATATCACTGGAAGATTCTTTGCCTTCAGGAAGCAACAGCAGCAGCAGCACTGATCTCAAATCCTACCAATCGGCTCTTCCAATCGGCGACCTGCTGGCGTACAGCAGCGCCAACCTCCTCGCGACGCACCTCTTCAAACGAGACCTCCTCTTCTTTGGACTGGACTTTGAGAACTTTGGAAGTTCATCGGGTTCAGACATATCCACCTCTACAACCTTATCAACACCTCCCTCACCTCCTCTTCACTGCGCCCTCGAGCTGCTCTGTCTGCCGGGAATTGGCCGCCAGTTCCGGCGGGACGCCATCGTCCGCCACGAGACGCTCAAGTACTTTGTCGTGCTCAGCATTCTCCGATCTGGACAGGAAGCTGAAGAGGAGGAGGAAGATATTCAAGCACAAGTCTACCTACTTCGAAAGTGGCTACAGGTGACGGAAAAGCTGCTTCTCAGCCTGGGCGACCACTTTGCCTTTGGCGCCATCATGGCCGGTCTGCGACATCCGGCGATTGCCAGTCTGGACCGTCTGTGGACGGCACTTCGAAGTTCAGGAGTTGCTAGCACAGAAGCTTTGCTTTATGACACGGTCTTCAGCTCTCAGTTCAAGAGTTTGCAAAGCGGAAGTGTTTTAGATCAGAACTCCCGTTCAATGGTGCTCCCCTTTGTCGTTCAGCTGTGTCACCTGATGGAGTGCAGCGCCATTGTCGGTGGACGGGTGATGCCCCTGATGCAAAATGAAAATGGAACTTCTTTGGAGGTAAAAAAGAACTTCATTAAAAAACCTCAGTTTAAAACTCCCATTTTTTCTTAGGAGATCATTGCCGTGGAGGCTTCCAGCCACCAGAGGGTCGGCCTGATGGACTTTTCGCTAGACTCAATTTTGGCGCACATTGAGCTGAGTGCTGCACTTCTTGACCGGCTGCCCTCAATGGAAAAGGAGGCAGTGGAGCGCTTCAGCGGCTGCTTCTTCCGTGAGCCGGCCCTTGAAGAGCTCTTCAAGACGACCACTCTTCTAAGGTACCTTTTTGGCCCTTTGGAAACCGATTTTGACCCCTCCAGGCAGCAGATCAGCTATGAGGTCTTTCGGCGGCTGGAGCAGCAGCTGTTGAACAACAACGGCGGCAGCGGCAACAAAAGTGCCACTTTACATTCGGATTATCAGCAATTACCGCATAATCTACCTAGCAGTATCGTCTAAAATATCATCTTTTGAACTTCCGCATTTGAACTTTGTGGCATTTTATAGAACTTGGAGTAATTATAGCGTGTAATAATGTAATTATGCATTTGAGCGGTAGAAAGGAGAAAGGAGAAAAAAGAAAACAAAAGAAACAACAGAAACAACAAAAAAGAGTGCTCGAGAGATGAAAGTTGGAGGAGTTCACTTCCTCCTCCTGTTTTTCATCATCTCAACGACACTTCAAGGTTCAAAGTTCATCTTCCTTTGAAAGCTCCTCTGCAAAGGAGGGAACAAATGGAGGGAAAGAAATCAACACAGGTAACAACACAGTGGATAACAGCTTTAGGTAAGAATAAAGAGAGAGAGGGAAAGAAAGTAGAGCAAATAAATAGACAGAGAGAGAGAGACAGTCATCAGAGAGGTTATCAGATTAGAATAGAGTAGAGAATAGCAATAGAGCAGAGAAGAAATAGTGTAGGTAAAGCCTTCAGTCAAATGCTCTCAGAACTTTCGTGCATTGTGGGCGTGTGTGTGTGTGTGAAGGAGCTGTGTGTCATCATCAAAAGTTGCTCTTATACTCTTTATACTTTGCATTAAATTACGCCCCCAAAAACAAAGTGGATAGTTGATACAAACTAACAAACAAAAGCAAACGGACACACGCACACACACCCAGAGAGTTTTCAACGAAACTCGTATATGGAAATGGAGTTCTCCGGTATATGCGTCAGATTCAGTGTCTGGTACCTGGTAAAACCAATCAAAACCAAGGTGATATGAAGATAATCGGCTCAATCAAGTTCAACTTACCACTCTGACTGTCGGTGGTAGTAGTAGCCCTCGATGGTGGCCTTGGATTTAGTGAAGCAGATGTAGTAGAAGCCGGCGAAGCTGGCGCCGTGAATGTCCTGAATTCACAAGGAGTTTCAAGAATAAGATATTGAAAACTTTCAAATCAGTTTTATTTAAATACCTTGACGGTGTGATCCGGCAAGAGGAAGCGCTCCTTCCAGCGCATAAAGACAAAGTCAGTCGCGCCGAGCGCCTTGTAGTCGAAGGTATCACAATTGAAGGTTTTAGTGTAGTTGCCGAAGCTGAGGAAACGGGTCCAGTGTTTTCTAATGAAGAGGAGGAATCAGTTCACATATTAGAACTTTAGAGCTTAAAAATTCTAAACAAAAGAGTTCTCGAATTTCTGTTGCTGTTATTACCTGTCAATCTCCTCATCCGCCTCCCACTTGCGCGTGAGAAAGGGATTCTTTGCGGAGATGATCTCCCCGTCGAAGAAGGTCGTCATCGTCGGGTACTCCTCCGTCAGCCCTTTGATCATCAGGTAGCCGCAGAGGTAGGAGTTTGCCTGGTCGACGTTCTATTTTACCGGAGTGAAAGGGTTTTGTTAGTAAAACCATCAAAAACCGAAAATCAACCATTTTTCTTACCTGAAAGACGACCTCCACCTGGTAGGAGTTCCCCTTGGAGGTCTGAAAGCCGCCAAACTTGGAGCCACTGTAGAGGCAGGAGTGCGCCACGCCGAGCTGACAGGAGTTCACCAGCGGCGGTGGATTGCAGAGGGTGGACTTTTTCTTCTTCGCGGCGGCGGCCTTCTTCAGCGCTTCACTTCTCTCCAAGGAAGACTGATCACCATCAACTTCATCTGCAACCTCGAAGCCCTCTGAGCTTCCACTGGAACCGTCTTTGGACGTCCTGGGGCCTCTTCCGCCCTGATTAGCTCCACCGCTGCCGTGACAGCAGCCGGTGACATCGTCGCAGATGCACACGCAGTTGATTGAGTTGTCGAGGTCCAGCATTTGCGGGCTCATGAACCCTCCGAGCGAGGTGGCGTTGGAGTAGCGAACAGGCATCACCCAAACTAAAATGGGAGTTCAGGAGATGCTGAAGAGTGTGAGGAAAGTTGAAAAGTTCCTGAGGTCGAGCAGTTGTGCAGGGATAGTGATCAGGAGTAATTTTGAAGGTGGTGATCAGACCTAGAACTTTCGGGCTCTTGTTTTTTCACAGCACTTGTTTGTTTACCACTGGTAAACAACAACCGCAAGAACAGCCGCGAGGTGATAATTTGAGAGCTGTTTTAGCTGGGGTGCAGGAGAAGAAGAGAAGAAACAAGAAATGGTAGCAAGTAAATACCACCACCAGACGCCAATGATGCACAAATAAACACACACACACACAAAAACACACACATACACAACACCAGCACCACCACCAGAAATGGTAACCTCGCTTCTCTTCTTGTAGCAGCAGTTATTTCTGCAGCAGTAACTTCCGAAGTTGAGCAGCAGCAGTAGCAGAAGAGGAGCTGGCAAAGCAACGAGGGCAATCGAGCAGCAGAAGAAGTGCGGCGGCGGCGGCGGCGGCGGCGGTGGGCGCCAGGCGCCCTCGGAGCTGGCCGACGTGAGAATCCAAGTTGAGGGAGCGATAGGAAAAGAGGAAAGGAGCGGGAGCGGGCGCGAAAGGAGGACGGCGTCACCTGCGCTGGTCGTGGGAAGCAGAGCCCTCGTTTTTTAGGCAGACAGAGAGAAAAAGAGATACTCTGGGAGCCAAACAGCCAAACAGCCAAACAGCAGCGGCAGCAGCCGTTGCCGATAGAGGCTGCTCGCAAAGGCAATGGCCGACTGCTGATGCAGGGAAGTCTCAAAGTCTGTTTGTAAACAGACTGACTGAAAGTAGACTCGCCACCAGACACTCACCACAACCACACAAACACACACTGACTGGTGGTGAAGGAGAGTAGAGAAAGTAGAGTACTGGTCGACCAGAACTGTCCTGTCCAAAGTTACTGACAACGATACTTGATGGTCATGATCATGATCATTCAGTGATCTCCTTTCTTTTCCGGTGGAGTTCTGCGGAAGTGATTGCAAAGTTTGACTGTGATATCCGGCGACTTTTTGTTCGAAAAGAGCTTTTCTGGGTCCCTTATCAACAACCACAAAGATTGTCAAGGATTCTACAACGACGCTCTGACGCAACGGAGTTTAATTTTTTTGCTGCGTTGTTGAGTTGTGGTCGACTGCCCTCTTTTCCTTCTCTTTGATCTTCTTTTGCCGCGACTTCCTCTTACTCCTCTTTTAAAACGACACTTGTGGTACTCTTAATCATCTTCATTCTTCTTTCATCACTTGATCTCTACGTCGCAACTTTTATTGTGAAGATGCAGAAACAGCAGCAGCAGAACTCTTCCGCTTCCGCTTCCGGCAGGCTGGGAAATGAGTTCAAGATTTGCCTTTTGGGAGTAAGTGGAACTTTGACTGTCAATTTTTAACTTTCTAAATTCTAATCACTTTTTATGACTAAACAGGAAACCTGCGTCGGCAAGTCCTCCATTGTGCAACGCTTCGTCCACAACACCTTCAATTCAGGCAATGAAACCATTGGGTAAGTGGGAGAAAAGAACTTTCTAAAAATATTTGAAAAAAAAATTATTTTTTATTACTTCTAGAGCTTCCTTCATGACCAAAACACTGTACCTCGGTGGATCTAGCTTGAAACTGAACATCTGGGACACGGCAGGTCAAGAACGGGTAAGGGGTTTTAAAATTGACCTTCAAATTGTGTTTAATTGATTTCTTTCCATTTCTAGTACAAAGCCCTGACGCCAATGTGAGTGATTTTAAAGTGAACAACTTTAATGAAAATCATTAATTGACTTCCATCAACAGGTACTACCGCGGAGCCAACATCTGCATTGTGGTTTACGTAAGTCTGACTATTTATCAGTATTTTTTTCAGTATTTTTAAAACGTGTTTTGCTTTCAATTAGGATGTGACATGTTCCGTAAGTGCACTTTCTTCCACTTCAAAGCAGTGAACTTTATCACAAATGCTCATCTCATCTTCTTCAACTCAGAACTCCTTTAAAGCGGTTCAAAATTGGATCAAGGAGCTGAGGACGTACCTCAGCGAGCAGTACCTGATTGCAATTGTAATTATTGGAATTACTGACTGATTTCAATTTTTATAATAAAGCTTTTTAATTTAGGCAGGAAACAAATGCGACCTTACTAAGGTGGTCAACTCTGATGGTAAATGATTACTTGTGACCGAGTTTGAAACAATTTTGACAACTATTTTTAATTCTCATCTTTAGACGCCAAACAGTACGCCGACAGCGTCGGTGCCTTCTTCATCGAGACGAGCGCCAAAAACTCGCACAATATCAACGAACTTTTCATCAGTGGTCAGTTGATTAATTTGTTGTTGAATTCAAACAAAGTCCACTGATTTATCTTTTTTGTCCAGCCATAAACCTTCATCGAAACTCCTTTGCCTCCAAAGACAAAAGTGGCTCATCACCTTCTGACACTGTGGCGCTGAGCACTGCCAGGTCGAATGGCTCAAAGTGCTGTTGATAAATGCTGCTTCAGTCTTCTTCTTTTGATAAGCGCAAACTCAATTTCACCTTCATCACCCTCTGATCATCACCATCATCACCATCATCACCACCAACACTAAACAAGGTACGTTCTCGAGCACTCCTGCAATATGAAACAAAAAATACTTCACTCAACAAATTGGGCCAGAACTGTCAAACTGGTTTTGCTTTCTGTTTTGCTTTCTGTTTAATTGTTTGTTTATTTTTTTTTATTACACATTTATAAGACATAAGTTTTTTATTTTGATTTATTATATAAAATTGAAAAACCACATTAAATATATTTAATTATCGATATCATATGATATATGCTCTTATTGAATAATAAAGTTCATAAATATAATTAACTTAATAACTTTGAATAGCGTAGTATTTGTACTTATAGGCAAGTGTGTGTGTGTGTATGTGTGATTGTTTCCAAAGAAGACTGTTTGCAAAGAAGCAAAGAAAGGGACAAAAAGAATGAGAAAGGGCCACTGCCGAGCCAATAAACTCTCTAACTTGAAATGATAATAAACTCCCGCGGCCGTGTGGTAATAATAAGAAGGAAGGGGGATAATAATAATAAAAAGCAAAAGTAATAAGGTTTATAAATAAAAAAAGTATAATAGAAAAGGAGAAAAAAGAAGTACGGAGAAAGTGTCGTCGCAATTTTTACGAGACATTTAAAAAAGAAGAAAGGAATGTTGAGTTTCAAGTGGGGTGGGTGGACTTCAAATTAAAAATAAAAATAAAAGAAAAAGGAAAAAAGAATGCAACTAGGAGTGTACCTTTTACACAGCAGTCACCAAAAGGTTGCAAAAGGTTGGAATGATTTGAGAAGAGAGGAGAAGAGAAGAAATGAATAAATAAAAAGCCTCTTGGACTTTAGGCATAATTCAGCCGGTGATTTGATTGCAGGTTTCCGCATTTGCAGCAGAAGTATTTTAACCATTTTTCTAAATAACTAGTAATTTCTAATGATTTCAGTCTATTTCAATTCAATAGAAAATTTTTGTTCAGTGCTCCATCTTCATCTGCCGGAGGACCTTATTTTCCTTCTCCAGCTCGCGTACCCTTGAGTCAAGTACCTGGACCCTGCGCTCCAGCTCCTCCATGTACTCCTTCTTCTTCCGACGGGACTCCTGGGCGCTGATCTTATTCTTGATCTTCCGCCTGATCTTCTTCAGCGACCGCTCCTCGCTCTTGGTCAGCGGAAAGCGCTGCGGAATGGGGTAGCCCTCGGCGATCAGCGTTCTCTTCTCCTCTTCGGTGAGAATTACTGTTGGAAAAGAGAGAGATAAAAGAAAGTTAGTATTTTAGTTTTTAAAAAATCCGGTGTAAATGATATCTTGGCGCCCTTCGCTGTTGTTATTGCACTCTCTCTCTCCCCTTTTAAAATGTAATTGCAATCATCCGAGGCAAACACACCCAATCTCAAATTTCAACATGCTGTTACTTAGTTACTTTTACTGATTTGCTTGCGGCCACTCTCCTTTTTTATTTCCCAATGCATTTTGAAAGTGAGCAGGGAGCAGCAACATTAGTGTCATTGCCTTTTAGTTGTGGTGGCAATCAAAAAGTACAAAAAATAAAAAGTACTCCAATTGCCCTCGATCTGGTCAGATGACCACTGCTTCAACTGTCACTTTTGGTCACATCATTACCACCACTTTCTGCTCTCATTATCCACTAAACATTCCTAAGTATTCCTAAATGTATTCCTTAATTTAGGTTTCCTTACCAGCAGTGCCGTGAATTGCATTCTTTGGTTGAATCGATATCAGCGCCTGCATGCTACCACCACCACCAGCGCCGCAACCGGCGCCGCTGGGGCTGCTGGCGCCGCTGGAGGAGGCGCTGGTGTGCCCACTGCCACCACCACCAACACCACCACTGTTGCTGGTTGCGTTCTTGTTTGACTTCTTCCTCGGCGTTGAATTTAAAGATGATGAAGTGGTAGTGGTGGTAGTGGGGGAATGAGAGTTGGTGAGGATCTCTAGCGAGGGATTCCTAGAGGAGAGGAGAGGAGAGAAGAAATTAGCAACCGTAGATTAGAAGACTTGTTTTTTAGGAGTGGGGAGAGATTGAAGAGCGAGATAATCTCTGCTCAAATCTCGTTTTCCCTTACCTCTGAGTCTCCGAGTCGGAGCCGCACTGCGAGGACGGCGGCGTCGGCGGCAGGCAAGGATTGTTGAGCAGCGCCGCCAGCGTTGAATTTTGCACGGCGGCCACGGTCGCCGAATTTGCCGTGCTCAACTTGGTCGAACCGGTCCCTGAAAGCTGCAGCTGCAAGTTGGCCGCCGACTTGTGCTGGTGGTGGCCAAGAAGTGAACTGTTCACTTTGGAGGAAGGTGGTGAAGAAGAAGAAGAAGAGGACGAAACCTGGTTCCCTCCGAAGAGCAGCGAATGAGGACTGGCCGAGGTGCTCGATGTGCTGGATGTGCTGCTGCTGGAGCTGGCTGAGCTGCTGCTGTGGGAGCCACCACCATTGGTGCCACTGGTGCTGAACTGCAGTTCAAGGTCAATGTCTTGTTGGGGTTGAAAAAGGAGAGAGGATAGACAATTAGAAAGAGGGGTCAGGTGTGCTGTTCTGTGCTGCTTTCAGTGAGTTGTGCTCACGATTAGGGAGCACGGTAGTTAGTAGAGTTCCTTTCAGGTTAGCTTCACCTCACTCGCTCTCGCTCAGGTCACCGGCGGTCAAGTGAAAAGGTCACACTCACAGACACACACACACCGGAGCAGGCTCAATCAACTCCTAGCCTCTCAACCTAAAAAATAAATAATCCGGCGGTCATGTTTTTACTCTGATTCAGTCTGCTGCTGCTGTCTTGTCTCTTGTTTGACTTTTGGCAGTTCTTTCTGTCTAGCATCAGCTAAGAAGCTAAGCGGCTTTTAAAGCTCCAAAAACAAGAACAATAGAAGAAAAAGAGGCTGTTTTTCCGAGTGCAGATGCACCAATCAGGACAAAGCTTCTTATTCTTTGCCGTTTTTTGCTTTTATCAAAGAACTATGATAAATAAATAAAAAGTTACCACAAACTGTCTATGATCTCCTTTTCAACCCGGAAGTCCTCCTCCTCCTCTTACAAATCAACAGGTAGTCGTCGTTGTGGTATCACCTCGTGTTGTGCTCCACTTGTCTGCCGTCGCCGCTGCTGCTGATTTGTGTGCACTTTTTCTGACACTCGGTCTGTCTGTCTGTGAGTGAGTGAGTGAGACTGTTCCACCGATCACTTAATTGGGACAACACAGTGTGTCTGTCTAGCCGACAGCCTCAGCAGACAGAGAGACTTTAGAATGAATGGGCTGAATGAGATGGTAGTAAACAAAACGGGGGAAAAATAAACAACAACAACAACAACAACCTTGCGGCTTAGAATAGCACCGTAGTTCTCTCTGTAATAATAATATTTCCCCGACTTTATCCCCTCAATTGTGCCGTTCTCCTCTGCCCTCCAGTTCAGTTCAGAGCAAGCACAGCTATCACAGCCACAAATCTGCAGGGTGTCGACCACTTAATAGCTAGGATAGGATGTTGATGTTGTTGTTGTTGTTGTCGCTGTTATTACCACTCCGTTAGTGTGCCTGCAGTGACTGCCCGATCTGAAAAAGGTCTCTTTCAGTCTTTCAGTTCGCAGTTGGCAGCAGAAGCAACTAGGCAGCCAATTCATCTAAATCAGGCGGAATTTGGCAATTAACTGCTGCTGTTGCTGTCGTAAATACCTTTTGGCAGTGTCGGCATTTTTCGATTAAAAAAGGAAAAAATGAAAAACACCGATCTGTCCTTTGTCTTGACCCCATTCGGACCAAATCAAAGCAAGGACCTCAACTGAGCAAAAAATGAAAAAAATCATTTGGATCTATCCTTTCTCAGTGCGCGCGGCTAAGCGGGGGATGATAGGAGGTTGCACTAATCTCTAAACGACACTGCTGATGCCTATCTCATCTTCATTTCACGCACTAGCAAAATCAGAAAGAAAGCAAGGAGAAAAGTAAGCACTTCAGTGCCGGACAATTACCCAAAGTTGAGCAGTAGGCATTTGTCGTCTGGTTGAGCTGCTGCTGCTGCTGGTGGTGGCACTAAACCAGCAGGCAAGCCAAGGCATTAGCCTGCAAATTGCCCATAATTATTCGCGGCGGGCATTTAGTTCGCGAGTAGTAAGCGATGAGAGAAAAGACAGAGCAAAAAAGAAAGAGAAAAGATTCAGCAGTCTTTTGCTTGAGAAACCAGCACCAGACAAACAATCAAACAATCAGCGACAGTCAGACAAAAGACACCTCAGTAGGAACACACACACACACACACACACACCGAAACTGAGAACATTCAACACTCTTTAAACATCTTCTCTCTTCTTTTCACTCATTCAATTTACCTGAGTTGAGAGGTGAACGGCCGACCAGGTGCTGAGCGCTGGTGGCGAGGTGGTGGTGGCCGAGGCTGAAACTGTTGCCGTTGTGAGGCGTCACGGTCAGTGAGGACGATCCGAAGCTGTGGAGCTGTTTGCCAAGACTGCCACCAATTGTCACCGAACTGCCACAATCGAGCCCGTCCTCGCCATCAGACATCGAAAGCGTCTCCGACATCAGCCGGTCATTGTAGATCACCAGATTGTAGTTGCGCCGAGAGGACAGTGGCCAGTACGGTTTCTAATAAAAGGAAAAGAAGGGGTAAAGAATTGGAAGAGAAAATGATTAGCAAAACGGTGTCTCAGTGTCTCAGTGTGTGTCTGTAGAAAAGTTCAAAAAACGGTCAGTGAGTTGTGCTCTTTCTCTCAGGAAAGAGATTTATTGTGCTACAGCTAAAAATGTGCCCTTTAATCGTCGGCAATGATGGTGATGGTAACCACCACCACCGGGGGAAAATTTACCACCACTGTCTAATGGCGTCTCATTTGAAAACTGTACTCCAACAAAACAGTCTTTCCCCTCCGGTCTATCTCTTTCTCAAACGGGGCAAAATCCTAAATGTAAGCAAGCAAGTGAAAAAACAGCAACAAAATCAACGTTTAAAAAACCGACGACGCCCGTCATCGTCGCCGCCGAGGTGCTTTGCTGAAGCAAAATGAAGCAGAAGAAGGTGACCAAAGAGGCAATAAAAAATGTGAAGACTAAAGGGACTCTCTTTCTATTTCTTTCATTCTTTCTGTCTTGCTGTTAATTGTGTTACATAATTGCCGGCCATTTCTTTCTTTCTCTCGTTCATTAATGGGTGCTACAACGGAGCAGTGCGCCCCTTTTCAGCACACTGCTGCTGCTGCTGCTGCAGCTAAAGAAATCATCAACGGCGTTGAAGGCGACGCTAATTAATGAGCAGCAGAAACGTTTAGCTGTGCTGTTGAGCACAAAGATTTGCCGCCGCCGCTCAAAAGAAGAAGAAGAAGAAGGTTGTTTTACCTTGATTGAATTTGATAAAGAGAGAAAGAGGGGAGAGGGGAGAAGAAGAGGACGCTGGTGACGCCCAAACGCCCCAGGCAGCCAATAAAAAAAGTGTGCAGCAAATAAATGCAGAGCACAATTTGGTGGGGGTCGCGTCTGGTGGTGGTGGTGGTGGTGAAGACAGAACTTTTTTTCCTGGAATGTAACTTTTCTTATTAGCTTCTAAAGTTATGCAACTCGAGGGTCTGCTGTCGCCGCCGCCGCAGCCAGTGCCCTTGCTCCCAGTAAACCAGTTTGCCGTTTAGCCAGTCAGTGCCTGCTCTCTTCAGCAATTAAAGCAGAAAGCTTGAAAGCAGCAGCAGCAGGCAAACGAAAAGCAGCATGTTCACCACCACCACCACCACCACCGGAAGCTCCTGCTCCCATGCTCGATATCGATACGATACGATTCTATTTCTTTTTGCCTGTCTGTCTGCCCTGCCTGACTGACTGACTGACGGTATCAGCAGCGGTGCAGATACCAACCAGTGTGCTGCTACGTGTGCTAACCAGCACACACAGTTTTCGATCATCATAGAAGCAGACAGTCTGAACGAAAAAGCAGCATAAGCGAGTATAGGCCCAGTTGGGCGGAAATTCTTTCTCCTGCTCCTCAATAGTTTGCCCAAGTGGTGCTGGCACCACCACCACCAGTGGTGAAAAAGTGCGATAAGGCTCAGTGAAAAGCAAGCACCAAGCACCAGTGCTGAGCACGTTAATTTTTCTGTCCTCCTCTGCTGCTGCTCATTTTCTAGTCTATTTAGCGAGGGAGAGAGAGAGAGCACATTTACCGGTGCCTGCGACACGGTCTGCCTGGTCCTGGTGGCATTTCAATTAGCAAAAGAGCTTTCCTCTGCTTCTTCCTCCTCATTTCCCCTCACTTATTGAGCAAATGTGCTTGGCTGTTTTCTGCTTTAAACAGCAGTGCCAAATGTGCAGTGGTGGCTGGCTGGTTTCTGGTGGCCACCACTAAAATGTGCTCTTCATGCTGGCCCGCATGCACCACCACCACACATCTGGTGTTTGCAGATTTGAGCAGAAGTGCCACAAGTGGTGGTGCTGATGGAGCATCGGTGATGGTCCACTTCGATGCCACCACCAGCACCACCACCACCGGCATCACCACCAGCAGCGACGATTCAAGGTGACACTCTCTCTCTCTCTCTTAAAATGGCTCTGTGTGTTTGAGTTGCTCTGAGCATCAAACCACTTGCTCCTGCTGCTGCTGCTCATCTTTGGTTACTGATACCTGCTGCTGCTGCTGCTGCTGCCATTCAGTACGCCTCGTTGCCTGAGCCGAGGATGCTGCCAATGCTGCCTAACAGTGAAGTGAAGCACCTCTTGAGCATCAGCAGCAGCAGCACTCCAATTGAGTCAGTGATGCGTGAGTGGAGTGCACCTTTCCAGCACTGTACAGCTCTTGCACCAGCACTGGAAGCACACCATCCTGGCGCCATGCGACACCGGCACATGTGCTCAGCTTTACAGAACACTCAGACACTGAGGATATAGCAAACGACTGAGCTAAAACCAAAGGCTAAAGATAGCCCTGTGCGGCGGATTCAGCCAGCAGGATTCAGCAGCTTTGGAAGAGTGTAGGAGGGAACTTGGTGTCGCTTGTCTTTCTGTTTTTCAGTTTTCCTATCAAGACAATGGGATCTCTCGCATTCGATCACAATCAGTAATAGCTGACACAGAGATCAGGAGGAAATCAGATCGCCGTGATCTAACGGTAAACAACAGACAGTCAGCAGCAGAAAAAGCAACACAAGCCTCTCTGACATGAGGGCCAAAAGTCAACAGGTGGGCCAACAGGCACAGACAAACACAACAGCAGACAGGCACAGACAATTGGCAAGCCTTTCTTTCACTCCACCACCACCTCCTCTCCTCTAATCGCAGCCAAGAAAAACAAGCAATTGAGAAGGAAAGAAAGAAAGAAAGAGCAAACTTAAATCGGTCAGAATGAGCAGCAACAACTTGAGCTCCTCTTTTGATCGGGGCGATCGGGAGCACTGTTGCTGCTGCTGCTGCTGTTGCACACTTAAACACTATCTGAGTATCTGTCTCTCAGTGGACAGACGCTCTCTTAGATTGGGGAGAGAGAGAGAGCGACAGAAAGATTGAACACAGAGAAGGGCTATATTTGGGTGCCCAATGGCAGCGACGGCGGCGGCGACGATGATAGAAAAAGAAAAGGGCAACAGAAGAAGAAGTGGAAGAAGGTGCTCACATCGTCGAAGATTGCAATTTCAATTCAAGCGGCGGCAACAAGTGCACGGTGCACCGATTCGCTCCTCTCCTCTCTTTGCTTGCCCAATCTAAAGAACGGTGCAACGAGAAGAAGATTTGCCAGAGAAGAAGGTGGTGGTGGAAACAGTGAACACAGCAGTGTTCACATTCCAGCTAGCCATATGCACGAGCAGCAACGGCAACGGCTTCCCATCTCTATCTATCTATGTTTAAAAAAGAAGTGCATTTTGGAAAACAGGTTTTTCCAAGCGTTCAGCAGTTGGCAGGCACCGAAAGCTACCGAAGCCAGGCAGGCAATGGGCAACTGCTGATCACCTTTACAAGCAAAAGAGAGAAGAGCCAGGCATTTAAATGTCGAGCGGACACACTGGCAGACACCGTCGCTGTCGCTGTCGCTTGCGTTTGACAGCAAGTGAATATGAGCACACAGCAAATTCACTTTGCAAAGAGAGAGAGA